ACCTTGGCTATGCCCCTCATGATTTTATAAATCTCTAAGATCACCCCTCAGCCTCCTACACTCCAGGGAAAACAGTCCCAGCCTATCCAGCCTCTTCCAATCTCGGTAACATCCTTGTAAATCTTTTTTGCAGCCTTTCCAGTTTAATAACATCCTTCCTACAGCAGGGCGATCAGAATTGTATGATGAACTCCAGAAGTGGCCTAGCTGTAACATGATGTCCCAACTCCTGTACTCCATTCTCTGACCAATGCAGGCAACCCTGCTAAACGCTTTCTTCACCACCCTATCTACTTGAAACATCACTTTTGAGGAACTACGTACCTGCACCCCCTAGCTTTCTCCATTCAACAACCCAGAGCTTCCCAGGGCCTACCATTAATTGTACAAGTTCTGCCTTTGTTTGTTTTACGTCACATTTATCCAAATTAAACCCCACCTGCCACTCCTCAGCCCATTGGCCCAACTGATCAAGATCTGTTTGCAATCTTAGATAACCTTATTCACTGTTGACTATTGCACCAATTTTGGTGTCATCCGTAAACTTACTAACCACGCCTCCTATATTCTCATACAAATTATTTATACAAATACTGAACAACAGTGGACCCAGCACAGTTCCTTGCGGTAGACTGCTGGTTGCAGGCTCCTAAGCTGAACAACAACCCTCTACCATCACTCTCGGTTTCCTATCATCAAGCCAATTTTGTATCCAATTGACTGTTCTCCATGGATCTAACCTTCCTAACCAGTCTACCATGTGATTCCCTGTCAAAAGCCTTGCTAAAGTCCATGTACACAATTTCTACCACTCTGCCTTCATCTGTCATCTTGGTCACTTCTTCAAAAAGCTTATTCAAATTTGTCAGAAACGATTTCCCACACATAAAGCCGTGCTGACTACCCCTAATCAGTCCTTGCCTGTCTCTCAGAATCCCCTATAACAAAGCCACCACTGACGTTAGCCTCACCAGCCGGTGGTTCCCTGGCTTTTCCTTGAAGTCTTTGTTAAATAATGATGCAACATTAGCCTCCGTCTAGTCTTCCGGTTTCTCACTTGTGGCTGTCGATGATAGAAATGTCTCCACTAGGGACCCTGCAATTTCTTTCCTAGCTTCCCACAATGTCCAGGGGTACACATGATCAGGTCCCAGGGATTTATCTATCTTTAAGTGTTTATGAGCATCTCTTCTTCTGTAAAGTGGACTCTTTTCAAGACACCACTGTTTACGTCCCCAAATTCCCTAGCTTCCATGTCTTTCTCCACAGTAAATACTGATGTGAAATAATTGTTTAGGATCTCAGCCACCTCCTGTGGTTCCACACAGACAGCCTCGTTGATCTTCAAGGGACCTTATTCTCTTAATATACTCATAGAATCCCTTTGGATTCTCATTTATCTTATCTGCCAAAAGGTATCTCATGTCCCCTTTTTGCCCTCCTGATTTCCCTCTTTCGTACACTCCTACATCCCCTATACTCCCCAAGGGATTCACTTAATCCCAGCAGTCTATACCTGATAAATGGCTCCGTTTTCTTGACCAGAGCCTCAATATCTCTAGTCATCCAGTATTCCCCACTCCTGTCAGCCTTGCCCTGCACACTCAGCATCGTACAGCATGGAAACAGACCCTTCAATCCAAACAGTCCATGCCGAACATAATCCCAAACTAAACTAGTCCCACCTGCCTGCTCCTGGCTTATATCCCTCCAAACCTTTCCCATTCATATATCCATCTAAATATCTTTTAAACATTGTAATTGTACCCGCATCCATCACTTCATTGGGAAGTTCATTCCACATGCGAACCACCCTCTGTGTAAAGAATTTGCCTCATGTCTCGTTTTAAATCTCTCTCCTCTCACCTTAAAAATGTGCCTCCTAGTCTTGAAATTCTCCATCCTAGGGAAAAGACAACTACCATCAACTCTATCTATACCTCTCAATAATGTATAAACTTCTATCAGGTCACCTCTCAACCTCCTATGCTCCTGTGAAAAGTCCCAGCCTACTCTCAGGAACATGCTGGCCCTGAACTCTCTTTTGAAAGCCTCCCACTTGCCAGATGTCCCTTTACCTGCAAACAGCCTCCCCCAATCAACTTTTGAAAGTTCCTGCCTAATACCATCAAATTGGCCTTGCCCAGTTTAGAACTAACTTGTGGATTAGACCTATCTTTTCCATAACAATTTTAAAACTAATAGAATTATGATTACTGGTGTCAAAGTGCTCCCCCACTAACACTTCAGTCCTGACTTATTTTCCAAGAGTTTTTATTCAGTAAATTATACAGTAAAAGTACAATAATTCAGTAAACTCGACTTCCTGATGTTATAAACTGGTCAAAACTATGACTAAACTTGTGGTTTCCATACCAGTGCACTCCTTGCATTTCATCTGAGCAACCTGTTCCTGTCAATGTAAAATATCAAGCTATCCATGCATGTCCACAAACACATGAAGTACAGCACACTGGCATGGCCACAAGAGTTATTTGATTCTTCCCTCCTCTGGGATCATTCCAGCAAAAAGCTTATTGGAAACCTCAAATTTCAACCAAGTCATTTTGTGCCTCCAGCTCACCAGGTGACTTTGTGAGCACACCATCCACCATAACTCCCAACAGCTACTCCATACTGCAATGCTATCTAACACAGTGATTTTACGGCCATGGGAAGGAAAATCTACATACTACTGCAAACCTGAGTACAGGAACAAGTTAAGGCCATTCAGCCCTTCAAGCCTGTTCTACCACTCAATGACATTATGCCCGATCAGCATCATAACTTCAGTTAATCACTAAATTAAAGAGAGTTGGGAAGTATGAAGGACAGTCAACGTTCATGCATTTTTCTATTTCCTGATTCATTTGGTTACATCATAATGTCAAATCTGCTGACTTCACAAATTCAAAAGTACAGACATGGATTTTGGCTCCAGTCTCAGTCCCCAGGTTTAGGTTACTGGTGTAGTTTAATTAAACTGACTAAATCCAACAATAAACACAAATCCCATTTCATTCACCAGTATTTTCTTCCCACTACACAAACTGTTTGAGGTTTTTCCATGGTCTGTCATTATTTTATAATTGATGACAGTTTCAAAGCAAAACTTTTGTGGTTTTGTCAAGAAAACCGAGGAACTATAGACCTACGAGTCTGACTTCAGTTGCAGGTAAATTGTTGGAGGTGATTATAAAAGATAGGATTTATGGACGTTTACAGAGGCAAAAATTGATTAGAGATAGTCAGCATGGCTTTGTGCGAGGGAAAATCATGGCTCACTAACTTGATTGAGTTTTTTTTGAGGAAGCTACCAAAAAGATTGATGAGGGCAGAGCAGTAGACGTTGTTTACTCGGACTTTAGTAAAGCCTTCAACAAGGTTCCACATGGTAGATTAATTAGTAAAGTTAGGTCACATCAGATTCAGGGTGAGCTTGCCAGTTGGATACATAATTGGCTTAACAACAGGAGACAGACAGTGGTGGTGGAGGAGTGTTGTTTTTTGGACTGGAGGCCTGTCACCAGCAGTGTTCCACAGGGATTGGTCCTGGGTCCTCTTTTGTTTGTCATTTATGTAAATGATATGGATGAGACTATAGAAGGCATGGTTAGTAAGTTTGCAGACGACACCAAAATTGGTGGCATAGTAGACAGTGAAGAAGGTTTTCTGAGATTATAAATGGATCTTGATCAAATGGGTCAATGGGCTGAAAAACTGCAGATGAAGTTCAATCTGGATAAATGCAATGCATTACATTTTGATACATCAAACAAAGGTGGGGCTTACACAATTAATGGTAGCTCCTTGGTGTTGTAGAACAGAGCGACCTAGGGGTTCAGGTACACAATTCTTTGAAATTTGCGTCACATATAGAAAGGATGGTTAAAAAGGCGTTTGGCACACTTGCCTTCATTGTTCGGTCCTTCAAGTATAGGAGTTGAGAAGTCATGTTGTGGTTGTACAGGACGTAGGTGAGGCCTTTTCTGGAATACTGTGTCCAATTTTGGGTGCCCAGTTATAGGAAGGATATTAAGCTGAAGAGGGTTCAGGAGAGATTTACCAGAATGTTGCCAGCTATGGAAGGTTTGAGTTATAAAGAAAGGCTGAATAGGCTGGGACATTTTTCCACTGGAGCATGGGAAGTTGAGAGGTGACCTTATAGAAGTTTATAAAATAATAAAAAGGTGTAGAGAGAGTTATCCACCTTTTCTTTATAACTCAAACCTTCTATACGCAGCAACATCCTAGTAAATCTCTTCTGAATCCTCTCCAGCTTAATCCTTCCCATAACTGGGCAACCAGAACTGGACACAGTATTTCAGAACAGGCCTCATCAGTAGTTGTCTTTTCCCTAGGATGGGGGATTTCAAGACTAGGGGGCACATTGTAAGGAGAGAGGAGAGAGATTTAAAAAAAAAACGGGCAAATTTTTTTTACACAGTGTTTGGAATGACCTTCCTGAGTAAGTGGTGGATATGGGTACAATCACAACATTTAAAAGACATTTGGATAAGTATATGAATAGGAAAGGTTCGGAGGGCTGTGGGCCAGGAACAGGCAGTTGGGACTAGTTTAGTTTGGTCTGAACTGTCTATTTCTGTGCTGTATGACTCGAAGATCAGTGATTTTCAATCTTCATCAAGAATCTAATTTCAATTTCCATCCTGGAGATTGTGAAAATACTGCATTTGGGGTTTATAGGGATTTAAAGGGCTGTATCAGGATAAATAGCTTTGCAAACACATAAAACTATCTAACACAACAATGCTTTATACTGGATTGTGTATCTCTTTCCTATGTTTGTGCAACTAAATGTTTCTGAAACTAAAGTTTAATATTTACACTTTAACATAATTCAAGCTTGGAGCAAAAACATTGGTGCCCAAAATGTATTTTTAAAATATCAAAATGATGAATTTAGACAAGCTCCTGGATTAGTATTTTCATTTAATTTTTTAAATACAATTTTTTTCAGAAGAAAAACTCTGAAAGGTTCAGTGCACCAAATGGATGCAGCGCAAAGACAGGAGTAGAAACCAACCTCTTTCCAAGCTTGAGGAATAGGAATACAGGAAGTATAGCTGAATCAAATAATGGAATCCCATTGGGTAAAACAGGCTTGCAGTTATTGGCCTCCATATCTGTGTATGTAAAAAAAAAAAAAAAATTGGTTGTTCATTACCCTCAGACACACCATCTGTACTGTGAGAATCAAACAACTTTTGATCACTACTTGCATCAGAAACAATTTTATTTCTAGCATACTGTACCAGCAATCAAAACCTGTCATGCTGCCTCTGTCACGTTTTGAAAAATGCACAAAGAAATAAAAGTATTCTTTCGCAATGTATACTATATTCACAATATTGTTAAACTAACAAGGCAGCAAGAAATTCAAACTGACATCAACAAATCTTTGACACATACAATCATTGCTACAGAACTCTCCTTGTGACAATGATTTGCCACAAAAAGTGATTTTCTTTGTTTACATTGCAAGGTTTAATTCTCCCTGCTGGAAATATCATTTCGTCTCTTCCAATAGATGTGCCTTGCATTTATACAGCACTTATCACAATCCTAGAATGTCATGTCACTGTCAATTCTTCATTTTTGAAGTGTAGTCATTTGCAATGTAAGAAATGTGGCAACCAATTTGCAGATTTCCAACCAATTTGAGCATGATAGTGGATAATGTAATAATGCACTATGAAATTAATCATCAATGTTGCACTGCAACGTTGCTTTTCTGCACACGTGTTTCTTGTTCCACCTGGTGAGAATGTTGCTCATAAACACAGCCTGAGAATTTGCCTGGGGTGTCCTAGCCAATAATTATTCCTAAATTAACACCACTAAAGCAGTTTCACTGGGGTTTAACAACTGCTGCTTGTGGCTGCTGCAAGATCCCAACTTATCCATGGCATATCCAGCATTACAACAGTGACTACACTTAAAGTACTTCATTGGCTGTCAAGTATTTTGGGAAATAATGTGATGAAAGATGCTAAATAAATGCAAGGATTTTTTTTAAGCAGAGAAAATGGAGATGAAAAACTGAATAGCTGTGTGCATACAAACTACTTAATCTGTAGAGATTTTGCTTTCAATTTCAAGATGTAATAAGTGAATGTAAATTCCACCTGCTAATGTGGGATTTGAACCAGTGTCCCTGAAACATTAACACAGGCCTTTGGTATACTAGTTCAGTTATTTAATATGGCTCACTATTTCCCAAAGTGTTGAAAGAGAGCAAGATATATAAAAGCAAACTATCATCCTATTGATTAATATACAAATTCCAACAACTGGTATATTTACATATATAAATATATTCATAGAAATGTAAATATGCTTACACATTAATACTTTGAAAAATAACTATTTCTACAACACTGAGTTGCTACAGACACCATTTTAACTAATTCACAAAGATTTTACAGTACTTTGAGTGATCTGGAAAATGTGACGTGCTCTTCCTTCTTCTGTACTCAAACTTCACTTTATAAACTGAAAATCATCAGTCTGCCCTGGGTTTTAATGTCATCATAAATGGCAATTTATCAATGAAAAGCGTAGTAAAATGTCCCAAGGTACTTCACATGACTGTTGTTTGACAAAAATCTGATACAGCAGCAGGTGACCAAAAGCTTGGTCAAAGTAGCTGATCTTCAGGAGTGACTGAAGATTAATTCGGATTTATATGCTGTAATGTACATAGGGAGCAAGGGAGAAGTGTTACAATTTGGGGATCTTCAGTATCCTGCAGCAGATGGGTTGGATCTGATCTTGACCCCAAGTCTAAGTAAGGCATTCTCAAACTGGGATACACAGAGACCTTCTAGGGGTCTGCAGAATGATGGAGGTGGGAACAGGTTGTGGTTCGTATGTGCAGTTTGAGCTGGCTGCTTTGCTTCAGAGGGCTTGCATTCCAGGAGGGGCACAGATTGGTGGCTTCAGCAAGATCACTAAGGTGACTTGCAGTCACCAAGCACCCAGGTAAACCCAGCCTTATTCAACAAGAGGGTTTTATTTTTAAATGGCAAAAGTACTCTTCTCTACAGGCCATCCAATGGGGTTGAGGATGACTTGCTTCAACTCAGTTTGACGAGCTTTGAGATGACCGATAACTCCAATTCTTGATCAGCACTGATTCTGTTTTCTCTCCACAGACGCTGCCAGACCTGCTGAGTTTTTCCCAGTAATTTCGTTTTTGGCGTTTCAGGTCCAGTGACCGTTCTTCAGAATTGCCAAAAGCAGTGCAGGTGGACTTCGAAGGGTTGGGTAGATACGTCATTTATCCTCCAAACATCTTAACTTGTCAAATATCACATGAAGCCAGACTCTTCAGCGACAAGCAGGCAAATCCTTCCACTGATGGCTACAGTTAAAAACATTATGAAATCTCTACGTACACATAACATAGTTTACTGATTTATCTGAGATTACTAATCCAGTTGACCACCCCTCACCCCCAAGAGGTCTGAGAATCTCTAGCTCAAGGCAGAGAATAGCCTAAACTAGAGTGACACTATCTGATGGAGTTGTCGCCCTACCTGAAAGTTGTTGAAGAAAGGTTCGGCCCACAGCACCAGGGTCCTGGCGCTGACCATATTCAGCCTCTCCAGGACAGGAAGGATCACGCTGCCCGTGAACCAGTACCTGGTAACCAGGGGGATGCTGCGGTACCATTCGCCCAGGCCGCTGTCCGCCATCCTAACCCGGAGCGAGGGAAGGAAACCAACCCGATGAAACCTTACTCTCTCTCTCCGGACACAGAACGACAAACCCACGATCCTCACTCCGCTCTGATCAACCTGTCAGCCCAAGGGCTGCTGGGAAAACCGGCACTCGTTTCCAGTGACGTGGCTGCACCACGCGCCTCCACCTCACTGCTTCCGGGTCACGGAGTAATCAGCTGATGTGCATTGTTACACTGACTCCACATCAGCAGGATATTCAGCCTGTTTGGCCCTACCCTTGTACCTCAAACCCCTTATTTTTGTAAAGTTTAGCAGGTTTTGTGTACATAAAGATAGATTTAAATCTCTATACACACAGAAGAGAAGAGCAGGAATAGGTCATTGGACCCCTCGAGCCTGCTTCGCCTTTCAATATAACCATGGCTGATGACTGAGCTCAATACCATAATCCCGCCCATAACCCATATCTCTCGATCCTTTTAGCTATAAGTGCCACCTCCTTCTTGAAAACATAATGTTTAGGCCTCAACTACTTTCTGTGGCAGTGAATTCCACAGGCTTACCGCTGTCTGGGTGAAGTAATTTCTCTTCAGTCCCAAAAGGTTGATCCCTTATCCTTGGCGTTCTGGACTCCCCCACCATAGGGCACATTCTTCCTCCGTCTAATCCTGTTAGAGCTTTATAGGTTGCTATGAGATCCCCTCATTTTTCTGAACACCGGTCCTAACCAACTCAGTTCTCATATGACAGTCCTGCCACCTCAGAAATCAATTTGGTAAACCTTCACTGCACGCCCTCTGCTGCAAGAATATCCTTTCTCAAATAAGAAGACCAGAACTGCATACAAATTCCAGGTGTAGCCTCACCAATAGCCCATATAATTTCAGCAAGACATTCTTATTCCTGCACTTGAATCCTTTTGCCATAAAGGCCAATGTACAGTTTGCCTTATTGCCTACAACACCTACACGCTTTTGTTGACTAGTGCACTAGGACATCCAAGTCTGGTTGAATATTCACCTCTGAATTTACAGTCATTCATAGTTTTGCTACTAAAGTGGATAACCTCAAATTTATGCACATTTTGCTGCATCTACCATGTATTTGCCCATTCACTCAGCCTCTCCAAATCACACTGCAACATCCCGCTCACAGCTCACTCTTCCACTCAGCTTTGTGTCATCAGCAAATTTTGAAATATATATTATTCCCGCAACTAAATTATTAATATATATTCTGAATAGCTGGGGTCCTAGTATGGATCTCTTTAGTACCCCACTAGTCATTGCTGGCTGTTTACAGGGTTTTTGTGAAATCCTTGGGCAACTTTAAACTTAATTTGAATGACCACATGGGAGAAGCAACCTGTGAACTGTAATGTATCAGAAACATTTTTGGTTTTTATAGCACCTTCACAGCCTCAGGATGTCTCAAAGCACTTAACAGTCATTGAGGTATTTTGAAAGTGTAGTTACTGTTATGGGATAGGAAACACAAAATCATCACATCACTGCTTTGCTGGGCAAAACATGTTCATATACTTGACATCAAACTCCTAAGCGCGTCCTCTTCTCAGAAATTAGACATCAGGACACACCCCAGGAAAGCAGGGGAAATGCTTTAGGGATGTCGTCAAAGCATCCTTGAAGGGATCAAATATCCCAAATAACACTAGGAAGTCCCTGGCCTGTCACTAACTATAATGGAGATGGTTCATTTAGGAATGCACCAAATAGATTTAGACGTTTTGTTGGAGTCATGCAAAGATAAAATCGAGGCATCAGCAAAGACACACAAGGTCTACAAACTTATCAGCCATCTCCGAAACGAACATACTGGGGGGAAAGCAAGTCATAAAAACAGAAAAGTGCTGGCACCTTGCTAAATTATAAGACATCCTTCCCCCATACCAAAAGATATTATGCAAGTCCAGAATTGGCCAGTTCAGTTACACAAAGAACCATGGCAAAAACCTGTAGTCCTGAGTAGACATGATCTTTGAATTAAGATGCAGCCAGAAAATGACTAGGTACGCTGCTTTTCCGTAATAGTTGAGAGATAAATATGGATAGAGAACAATAATCAAAATCAATTTTATCATTATCTCATTACTATTTGTGAAATTGAATGTATTTTCTGCATTGTAACAGAGGCTACACTTCAAAAAGTATGTCATTGGCTGAACAAGTGTTGGCACGCACTCTAAATATATTTTTTCTCTCCATCAACTTCTGTTATCAAATGAACCCCCAAAACTACAGTTCCCAGAAAGAAAGAAAGATGGCACGGTAGCTCAGTGGTTAGCACTGTTGCCTCACTGCTGGGACCAGGGACCCAAGTTTGATCCCAGTAACACGCAACCGACTGTGTGGAGTTTGCACATTCTCCCTGTGTCTGCATGGGTTTCTGCTGGGTGCTGTGGTTTCCTCCCACAGTCCAAAGATGTGCAAGTTCGGTGGTTTGGCCACGCTAAATTACCCAGAGTGTTCGGTGATGTGTAGGTTAGGTGCATTAGCCACGGGAAATGCAGGGTTACAGGGACAGTGTAGGGCGATGGGTCTGGGCGGGATGCGTTGGTGTGAACTTGTTGGGCCGAATGGCCTGTTTTCACACTGTGGGAAATCTTTTTTTTAAATATATATAAATTGCTGGGGAAAACTCAGCAGGTCTAGCAACATCTGTGGGGAAAAAGCAGTTAACGTTTCTTCAGAACTACAATTCCCAGCATGCGTCGCAGCCAGCGAACGCGATGGTGTCACTTCCTCCACGACCGGATGTTACGGGGAGAGTGTGTCCGTTATTTGGTTGAGGGGTCTGGTTGAAGTTCCTCGAATTTGTAAACTGGGTTTTGATTTAATTTGTCTGTTTTCTAGAAAACCTTTCAGGTTTATTTTTACAGCGGCGTTGGAGGCGTTTGTGTATTTTACGGCTGATGTGGTGAGGTGACAGTGGGAGAAAGTTTGAATTTGCCGCCGAACCTGTTGCCAGCCTCATGCAGATCAGCGACATTGGAGCCCGGCAGCAGGGAAAGATCTGGCATCGAAAGCCCAACCCCTCAGCAGCCGACGGGTAACACTGCCACCCTTGTCTGCCATCTACAGCAAACACACCTATTCGACTGTGGCAGGCATCCTTTCGGTGCTTGAGATTCCCCCGCCCCATTCGACTAGGGAAGGCATCAGCGCGGTGTCTGAGATCGCCCTCCTTTTCGACTGTGGCAGGCATCAGTGTAGTCCTTGCGATCCTCCACTCCCCCACTCAACCTTTTCAGTGGCACAGTGATCCACTCCCACCTCCTCCCCAAGTAGCCCCGGGACCTCGCTGTTAATAGTTCCCCAGACAATGGTCCTATTGCCACCAAACTCCCAGAATGAGTGCATTCACAGTGGCAGCCTTGGCTCCGACACACAGCGTCAATGGTTTTAAACCGTATCAAAGGGTGGAGCTCATAAAGGAGAGCCCTGCTTGATTAACCTTTCCTCCTTGCTCACGTTACCTTCTCTGCATGGTCCCAACGAGGATCAGCTCATATAACACAGATCAAACCAGAAGCATCTGTGGTCTTTCTGTGCCCTGCAATGCATTGTTTCCTCAACCCGTGAAATGATCCAGCGGGCTTTAAATTTATATAATGGTAGCTTTAACAGACTGTGCACAACAGCACTGCTTTTGTTTAAAACGTGGATGCCATCCCTTATTAATTTGTAACGTACGATGCAAATCACATGACTTCATGCCTCCGTCCCATCTTCTATGTCAGTGATGGTTGTGCAATTTTAAGGTATCGTGTAAGTCTCCAGGAATGTTTCTAAAACCTTTCCCTCAGAGGTGATAAACTTCTGAAACATAATGGAGAGCTATTGTTTTTAAATTCCTATTTCAGTCCAATTGGTAATATGCAATGTCCCTCAAAGTAGTTAAACTTTGATATTCAGCTTTTTGCTGGTAAACAGTCTCAAGCCGTGAAAGTCAATTCCTAGAATTGCTTAATAAAAATGAACTTCTTTATTCATGACTCAAGACGATGAGAGATCCATATGTTTAGGTGTTAAAATGTTCTATGTTTAAATCTCTCCAGTGTTTGAGATTTTAACATATTTAGTTAAATATGATTTTGTCAGCAATGGCTTTAACAGGGTCCCAGATTGGAGACTGACCAGAAAAACAAATGGGATCCAGAGTAACCTTGTAAGTGGGATCTAAAATTTGCTTGGTGGCAGGAGACAGTGGGTGATGGTAGAAGGCTATTTGTTTGACAGGAGGCTGATGCCCAGTGGCATATCATAGGGATCAGTGCAGGGTCACTTATTGTTCAGGATATATTAATGATGTAGATAAGAATGTGGGTTTTTTTGGGTGGGGGGGAGCGCAGTGGTGATAAATAAGTTTTTGGATGACACAAAGATTTGACAGTGAGGAAGAAGGTCTTCACTTAACGGGAGGATTTAATCAGTTTGATCAAATGGGCAGATCAGTGGCAGATGAAATTTAACCCTCAATGTGAGGTGTTGCACTTCAGAAGTAACAAGACAAGGGAGTATTCAATGAATGATAGGATGCTAGAAAGCTTAGAGGAATGGAAGGATCATGGGGTGCTTGTCCATAATCGCTGAAGATGGCAGAGTAGGTTAATCAGGTAGTTAAGGCATATAGGACACTTGCCCTTATCAGTCAAGGTATAGTTTATAAGAGTAGAGAGACTATGTTGGAGCTGTACAAAATTTTGGTTAAGCCACAGTTGGAATATTGTGTGCGCATTCCTGGTACCCACACTCTAGGAGGGATGTTATTGCATTGGAGAGGCTACAGAGGCAATGCACCAGGATATTGCTTGGGTTGGAGCACTTTAGCTATGAAGAGATGGTGGATAAGTTCAGGTTGTCTTCTTTGGAATAAAGAAGATTCAGGGAGGACCTGATAGAGGTGAATAAGATTGTGAGGGTCATGGACAGGGTGGATATAAAGCGGCTATTCCCCCTTAGTTGAAGAGTCAATACAAAATGACACGTTTTCAAAGTTGAATGCAAAAGGTTTAGAAGGGATTTGAGGAAAAAATTGTTTCACTCAGAGGGTAGTTGGGTATGGAACGCACTGCCTGGGAGGGTAGTTAAGGCAGGTAACCTCGCAACCTTTAAAAAGAGTTCTTGGATGAGAACTTGAAATGTCCCAACATTCAAGCCTATGGGCCTAGTGAACATTTGGTGTAGTTTTGGCAGTACATGTTCAGTGGGCTGAAAGGCTTGTTCTATAACTCAAGTCATTTAAAGAACAGTACAGGAACAGGCCCTTTAGCCTATCAAACATGTGCCAACACATCACTCATTTCTAAACTAAAATCCTTTCACTTCTACGTAGTCCACATCCCTTAATTCCCTACCTATTCATGTATCTGTCAAGATGCCCCTTAAACATTGCTATTGTATCTGCTTCCACCACCTCCTCTGGCAGCGCATTCCAGGCACTTACCACCCTTTGGGAAAAAAAAACTTGCCTCTCGCATCTCCTTTAAACGATCCCCCTTTTACCTTAAACGTATGTCCTCTAGTCATTAACATTTATACCTTGGGGAAAAGACTCCAACTATCCATTCTATCCGTGCCTCTTATAATTTTGTAAAATCTGCTAGGTCGCCATTCAGCCTCTGACGTTCAAGTGAAAACAAACCAAGTTTGTCCAATCTCTCCTCATAGCTAATACCCTCCAACCAGGCAACATCCTGGTAAATCATTTCTATACCCTGTCCAAATTTTAATATAATTTAACAATTTCTAAAATGTAGTGCTAATTTTCAGCTGCAACACATGCCCTTTCTCTGTGTCTTTTAATGATGCTTCTCAGATATTTATCCAAATCTGTTAAATTATACTGTTTTCTTTGGCTCAGTGTCTACATGTGTTGACACATTCCGTGTTATAATACCCTGAAAGTTCCACTTTCATTTCTCTAATGGTGATCACACGTCTGTGTCTTGTTCTTCCTCCTTTACCATGCAATGGATAGAATATGTATTCCTCCCGACCCATTTCTATTTATGGTAACATCTGTATGACAGTACTCTTAATTTCGAAGAGTTTCATTGCCTGTTTCATTGGGAGTGAGTCAGATGATAGTGTTCAGATTGATTCTGGGATCTTAAAATTAATGATGGGAGCAGACCTGCTTTGCTGAAATTTCACTGAATAAAGGACATACAAAAATGTCTGATCTGTCCCAATAGTTCATATGGTGAGTCCTGAACAATTTAATGCACACAGCTGTAAGCATTTTAAAGAATATTGTGATTTTGATAGTTTTATCAACTTTTCTAATCTATGTCTCTCTCTTTTTGAACAGAGTCATAGTAAATGTTACTCGTAGTGCGGTGGGCTATCACTCAAGGACCATTCGATTTCTTCATGTTGCATTTGATGCTGCAGGGGAAGCTTTTCTTGCTGGTGATCACCAGGGCAACATCTATCTCTTTGACTTAAGCAGGAATAGGTAAGTCACTGATTGCTTTGCTAATATTCACCAATAATAATGTCTCAATTTGTCCATGTCCAGGGCAGGTAGAACTTGAGTCCAGACCTTCTAGCCCAGAGGTAGGGAAACCACTATTGCACCACAAGACCCTTATAATAACATTGCAGATATTTTTAATCAACTGATTCAGATATGTTGTGACTCAGCTCTGGAGCAGGTAGAATTTGAACCTGGGCCATCTAGATCGAGGCAGGGACTCTATCACGAGACCAGAAGAGCCCGATTTTAATGATTTGTTCTTTTACAAAACAGAGCCAAAAATTTTTACAACAGTCGGCAAAAATAACAACACATTTCAAAGTGCGACTCAAACCAATAACCAATAAACTGTGGCGTTTTAATATTGTAGATACTTTTAATCAACCTATTCAGGCAAATTATCACGCACCTCTAGGTCAAGTGAGACTTGAACCTCGGCCTCCTGGTTCATCTGTAGGGCAACTATCATGGCACCACAAGTGCTCAACATTAATGTGAATTGGTCTTGTTTACATCTCTAATCAATGGCATTTATACCTCTATCTGTTTAGGCTCTAGACTCTGGAGTTTCTTCATCAAACCTCTTTCTCTCTCCCTTTTAAGGCACTGCTTAAAATATACATTTTTGATTAACCTTTTGGTCACCTGTTTTATTATTTGCCTGCATGACTCTGTGTCAGATTCAGTTTCTGTGAAGTGCTTTGCAATATTTTACTACATTAAAGATGCTATATAAATGAAAGTTATAACCCCAATAATCTTTAGATCATTTTAGATCCATAGAAATTAAGGCAAGTATGCCATCCAGATAAAAATGGATATGCTTTATTAAAAAAACAAATGTGAAAGTAAATTGGCCAGCAGTGTGATGTGAAGTATTAACTCATTCTGAGACTTTTAAATCTTTTTGCAAGCAGCCTGCTTTCTCTTCTCTGTTCTACTGTGCCCCTTCTTGTAATCTGTGGATATTGAAATTATCTATCATAGCTGCAGTGCTCAGGTACAAACTAAGGACCAAACTTGCTGTTTTCTCAGTGTGCAGATTATCTCACCAGGCAATAACATTTTCCACTGAGCTATGGGGCACTCGTCAATGAGGAATTAGAGCAATACAATTAAATCTATCCATAATGTTCATTAAATAACAGGGGGATAAAAGCAAAGTTGGGTGCATCTCATGTCTTGTGAAGTTCTACGCTATTATACAGGCCGGATAGACGTTCTATCAAGAGCAAGTGTAGTCATCATTGATGTAAATTAGAAACATGGCATTATTGGATCACTGCATGCCGAAATAATCATGTCTTTTTTCCCCCCAAAGGTAATTATAAATGGTGGTTCTAAAGATACTACTTTTGTGTTGAGTTTGGCTGTGAAATTGATTAGCTGGTAGAAGGAGGTTTTGGGTGATGGGTGCGTAGAATGGATAAATGTCTGGTTATAATCGTTTTGGCATGTTGACTATTTGTAGACTGCCTGAATCACTTGCATATAACACTAGATTATAATCAGGAAGGTAATGATGTGCTCTTTATAGAGGGGTATTAACTGTCACCTCACTTTTGTTTCCAAACAATTCCAGTCCAAAGTTCCCTAAGTCATTGGACTGAATTGTTATTCAATGACACAAATATATTAAATTAATAAACTATGTTGAATGACCTTTCATTCACAGTAATATTATTGTTCGTTATTCTTTCCATAGCTTTAAACTGGTGCAGCGTACAGGGCAGGCATGTACAGCATTGGCTTTCAATCTCCGAAGGAAGACAGAATACCTGGTCGCTCTGGCAGATTACTCCCTAAAATGTTTTGATACAGGTATGGTAAAGTTTATAACAATTGTTGTTGGAGAATCACATAATTGCTTTACCTATGGAGAGGTTCTGTTTTGTCAAGGGCTAAAGATCAACCATTCAGATTGAACCATATAAAATAGCAGGGAAGATTAAATAGTAAAGCAACAATTAATAAAACAGTATCAATACATTGAATGGTGCTCAAAATACACCAAGGCAGCGGTTGAATTTGCCCCAAAAGTCACCAAAATACCTGGAATATTGAACCACAGAGACAAAAAGTCTCCCCAGGAGTAGATGGACAGAATCTCTGATAAGCTGTTCCCCCAATCAAAGACTGGTTCTCTGCCATGCTTGTGGGACTGTGAGAATCTATCACAGAATAGAAGCAGTGGGAGAGAAGCAGTCTGTCTTTGGAGGAGCAGGGATTAAAGTAAGAAAGTAAAGAAAGGAACATAAGTGAGCAGCCAGCAAATTCTTCAGCTGCCAAGGAAGAATTTTGCTAGCAGAGAGGAGAAGTTCTTTGCTGCAGGGGAACTGGGGCTTCAGAATGTTCTGCTAAAGGGGATGAAAGCGGGCAAGGGAAGAGGAATAGGGCTGTAATGGTGGGAGTGGGGATTAAAATGAGGGGATGGGCGTGGAATGAGGCTGCAGAGGGGCCCAAGAATGGAGAAAGAGGCTGCCAGGAAAGCAGGGATAGGATAGTGGCTAAGCAGCATCATAGGAGCAGAGAGGCTGACGTTTCGGGCCTAGACCCTTCAAACGTCAGCCTCTCTGCTCCTATGATGCTGCTTGGCCTGCTGTGTTCATCCAGCCCTGCACCTTGTTGTCTCGGATTCTCCAGCATCTGCAGTTCCTACTATCTCTGATAGGATAGTGGCTGCTTGGGTTGGGGAGAGAGGGAGACTGCAAAGTAAAGAGAACAGTTTTAAATCTGTCAACAAAGGAGTCCTCCCCTAATTAAGAGCCAGGAAATCTTGAAAGTACTGAGGTTATGAATGCTTTGCAAATAAATGTTTAATCTCTATTTTAAGCTGCATGATTTTATATTGGGTAGAAAAATGTAATAAATGCTATTGTAATGAACACTGTATCACTTAGTAAATTTAAATCCGAGTTTGAGATCTCAGATTAAGTAAAATGCTAGTTCTTAGTCATGGGATGTGGGTTGTAGCAGCAAGGCCAGAATTTACTGTCCATCCTTAATTGCCCTTGAATTGCATTACTTACTGGGCCATTTCGGCATGCAGATGAGAATCAACCACATTAATGAGAATCTGGAGTTGCATGTAGGCCAGACCAGGTAAGGAAGGAAAATCTCCTTCCCAAAAGGACATCAGTGAACCAAATGGGTTTTTACAACAATTGATTATATTTTCATGGTCAACATCACTGAGACTAATTTTCAGTACCAGAATTGTTAATTAAATGTAAATTACATCAACTGCAGTGCATGATGTTCCCAGACTAAAATATTTCGAGTCTCTGGATTAGTAGTGCAGTTTTTTCGCCAGTATTCCACTGTCTCCTGTGCCTGGATGAATCTTCAGCTTTATGTATTTGTGGTAGAAACACAACAGCTATGACCTCATCAGTCTATGGATGGTGTATCAATTATTTTGGAAAAAAATTCACTTGTTAACTTATGCCTATTGTCATATGCCAATTTAAATTATATGTTTTAAGGAATTAAATTTTCCTTGTGTATTGTAGCTTTAGGTTTAATGGAGTTGATAATTGTTGACAATATTAATTAATTCTTTTAATGTTCCTGAAAATAAAAAAGATAACCCACAAAAAAATTAGTCCTCAGGAAATGAAACTTGTACCTTCATCTGCGAAGCTTCAAACATTTCAAAGTGAATTTTTGTATTTTGTTGCAACTCATTAGAGAGTTGATCCAGAGGTATACAGGTATATTGGTTTTCTGGTTTGTACTGAGTTTGTTAGATGGTAACTGGACAATGATGGGTTTTTACAATTGTCTTCAACAGCCCAACGTTCATGTGTGGAAGGTAGGCAGTGGCATGGCAGAATCAGAATCTATTTCATAACAATATTGAGGGATTTTTTTATTCACTCGTGGGATGTAAGCATCACCGATTGGCATTTATTGTTGTCCCTAGTTGGTGATGGTGAGCTACTTTCTTGAGCTGCTGCATCTATATGCTGTAGGTAGACCCACAATACCTTTAGGGAGGGTATTCCAGCATTTTGACCCAGCCAACAGTGAAGGAATGGCAATATACTTCCAAGTCAGGATGGTGAATGACTTGGAGGGGAACGGCAGTGGTGATCCCAAGTATCTGCTGCGCTTGTGCTTCTAGATGGAAGTAGCCTTGTGTTTGCAAGATGCTGTCTAAGGATGTTTGGTGAATTGCTGCAGTGGAAGTTGTAGATAATACACACCGTCGCTACTGAGAGTCAGTGGTGGAGGGAGTGGATGTTTGTGGATGTGAATGTTTGCCTGAAGCATATCGATGCCAATGTCCAGTGAAGGGCTCAGCTATCATTCTCCTTATGCTTGTGTAGCCCCCTACATTCACTGTTGTGACTTACGTGTAAATTTAATCATTAGGGTCAGGTGGCAGAAGATAAATCAGCACTCATGGAATTTTATCACAGCAAGTCAAGAGCTCTTGAAATATAAAAACAACTGAGATTTACATAACACCCTTAAAACAATAAAACATCTTAATGTGATCATGGGCACTATAAAATAAAGTGTGACACTGAGCTACATGAAATATTAGGCAATGTGACCAAAGGCTTGGACAGGAATGTTTCAAGGAGGAAAATAAGATGGAGAGACGGAGAGATCTGGGGAGGATTTTCCAGAGATGGGGGCCTAAGCAACTAAACACACAGCCACCAGTGGTGGAGCAGTTATAATTGGGAATGCGTTAAAGGAACATAGATATTTCAGAGAGCTGTATTGCTTGAAGAGAATACACAAACAGTCCATGGCAAGATTTGCAAAATATGGTTGAGAATGTTAAAAATAAAATATTGCTTAACTGCAAGCACATGGGTAATAGGGAAACAGTACTTAGCGGAAATTAAAGCACAGACAGCTGGCTTCAAGTTTACAGAGAACAAAATGTGGTGACCAGCCTTGAGTGCATTGAAATAGTCTCGTGATAACAAAGCATTTCACCAGCAGAGGCAAAATTGGGAGATGTTAAAGGAGTAGAAATAGGCTGTTTTAGTGACAGCATTAATATAGCTTCATTTGAGCATCATCTCGGGTTCAAATGTGACATCAAGGTTATGAACAGACTGGCTCAGACCATTGCCAAAAAGGGGGATGGGATCGGTAGCTAGGAAACAGTTTGGGCAGGAGGCCAAAAACAGTGATTTCAGTCTTACCAGTATCACATTAGATCTAATTTCTGCTCATCCAGTACTGGTTGTCAGATAAATAGTTTTATTAATTTTGCAGTTGTGAATGAGTCAAAAGAAGTGATGGTGACGTAGAGCTGAATGTTGTTAGTACACAGGAAGATGATTGGTATGATGCAGGGGAAACAAAATATTTCAATAAAGTTGTTCCATTCATCAGGAAAATGCTGTAATAGATGGCCGCCAACAAAAAAATGAAGTAGATTTCTAAATTTATCATTTAAATAAATTGTGGTACAATTCTAGTCAATTTCACACCACATCTTGTTTGGCTGTTTGTTGCAGGCTTCTCATGCTCAAGCAACTGCAAGAGTATGAATTTCACTTTATTCACTTATGGAATAGATCATTGGTTTTCAGTAAATTACCCCTTTAATTAATTATAATTTGGGTTTATATCACTTTGGGTAACAGTTTGTTTTTGGTTAACTGCTGGTATTGTTATCAAACTTGAAATTAGCAAGTTGACATGAAATGACTTTTGAGGGTCCTTTTGGCAGATGTACAATGATGCAGGACTTTTAACTTATAAATTTTGTGAAAAACAGTTAGTGTTTTGAACTCTTCTGTTTAATGGACAGACAGCAAAGAGCTTGTGAGTTGGATGAGGGGTCATGAGTCTGCGGTTTCATCCATTTCTGTTCATGGATCTGGAAGATATGCTATCACTACATCATCTGATACAGCACAACTCTGGGACTTGGACACATTCCAACGAAAGAGGAAATTGAATGTGCACTTGACAGTCGGCATTCAGAAGGTTAGTAAATAATTTAAAATCAAAACTAATGCAAGTTTGAGCTAACAACTTCCATAGCATTTATACTTGTGTCTGCCATGCTAACTGTTGATGCATGAAACCCAGAGGATGTTTTCTCATTCCTGATTACTCCACATTCCTGCCCACCTTCTCTATCTCTGGCCCCCCCATAACCTTTCACCCCCTTGGTTATCAAGAATCTATTTACCTTTGCCTTAAAAATATTCAAAGACTCTGTTTCCACTGCGTTTTGAAGATCAGAGGTCCAAATGCCCGTGATCCTCTGTGGGGAAAAAAAGTCTCTTGATCTCTGTCTTATATAGATGGCTATTATTTTTAAATAGTGATCTCTAGTTCTAGATTTTCCCGCAAGAGAAAACATAATTTCCACATCCACCCTGACAAGACATCTCTAGACCTCGTATGTTTCAAGCCAGGTCATCTCTTACTCTTCTAAATTCTAGCAGATACAACCCTAGCCTATCCACCCTTTTCTGCTAAGACCACCCATTCCAGATTGTGGTCTAACAAACCTCTAAACTGGATGCAACACAGTTACATCCTTCCTGAAATAAGGAGATGAGTACTGTACACAGTATTCCAAATTGGATCTCACTACTCTCCTGTAAAAGTAAAGCATTATCTCTTTACATTTGTGTTCATTTCCCCTTGCAATAAACAATAACGTTGGATTGGCTTTCTGTAATTATTTGCTGTACCTGCATACTGAAGTTTTTCCAACCAGGACAGTCAGATCCTTTTGCATCTTAGAGGTCTGTATCTCACCATTTAGATCATATTCTTCTTTTTACTCTTGCTGCCAAAATTCACACTTTGCCACATTATGTTCCATTTGTTACATCTTTGCCCATTCACTTAACAAATCTATATTCCTTTGTGGCCTTTTTATATCCCTAGTCAGACTTCTCCTTGGAAATCACTGTACACATTTGTTATAGTTGTGGTTGAAAAGTTGTATAAGAAACAAAATGGAGGTGTTGCAATAATTTCTGACCTATATTTGTTCCTCAGTAAATGGAACTACATAAAAGGTGCATTGACCCAGAAATTTGCATAAAAGCTCCTTCTGGAAAATATGACAACTGCTTTCCAAATGTAAATAATGTTTTTAAACAAAGTAATATTTGGTTGGGAGATAAAACAGTTTTTAAAAATATGGCTTTTTTTGGAGACAAGCCTTAACATTTGGGGAAATTGCACAACATCTAATTTTACCCACACATTGTGTTGAGAGGATGCAACATAGAGTTCTTGGCAATGGCAACCAACATAAACTCTCAAGTGTTCTTTCAACAAGAAAACCCCAGATATCTTTTCCAGTGATTAACATGAGTCAGCCATCATTGCAAAGTTTATTCCTGAAACAAACGTCAACATATTCCCGTTGCACTCATGCAATTGTTTATCTGAAATCCTTTGAAACAGCCTTTTTTTTTAAGGTGACGTTAGTCTGAGTTAATCTACATGTGTAAAAGAAAAGCAAATAATAACATTGAAGCTCTGGTTTCTTTTTTCATACTTCTCTATTATTTCCCTTTTTTGCTGCCCTTTTTTTTTACTTGTGATAACCATTACTTTCCCACTTTGCACTTTTAATTATAGACCAGTAAGTCCTATTGTATTCAACTGCTCATCATATGAGCTCACAATGTCGCAAATTATTGCCTCACAGAATGCTGTGACCCAATTAGTGATGTTAAGGAATAATGAATGCTCAGTGCTTTTCCTTGTAACTTTGTATTCATTATTTACTTGATAATTAGTTAATTTTTTGTAGCTGGAAGTTTATTTTTTATATCCTCCTGAGTGGATTATAAAACATCATCTGATCTCATCTCATCTAGGATATGTTAATTGAGCTCTCATCCTCTATCTCTATGATTACAATTTGACTCAACTAACCTTCTTATTTCTGAATTAAAGGTGTGGATCTTGACTCTTTTCCAGTGAAAGCCAGTTCAGTTGTAATGCTCTGTCTTTCTAACTTGTATACGCAAATCTCTGAGTCCTACCTATTGCTTTCATTAGAATTATTTCCAGATTTTATCATCTAGTGTTTTAAAATAATCCCATCACTCAATTAATCTAGTTAAAATTGATTTACATTGTCCTGATACTTGGATAATAATCTCACCCAAATTGTTTTCTGCGACTTCCTAATATTCTGTTCTTTACTTACGTTTCTGTTCTAAATCTTATGTATTCATCTGCATTAAATTTCACCAATCATTCTTTAATCCATCCACTCACTTCAGATGAGCCTTACCTCTAGTTTAAGGCCATTAGCAGATTGAAATTGCTTTGTTAAAAGGATGTTGATCTCTATCATTTTGGGAATAGTGTGGAGCCTAGAACAGTTCCTGACAAAACTTTAGAAATCCAGGTAGTGCCTTTTCTTACAGCAGGGAAAGACTTAACCTGCCTCTTTACATTAAAAAGTCACTTTATTCCGTATTTTTACCAATTTAAAGTAGTTGTGACTTGATCTGGTATATGCTCATGGCAAACTTAGGTAATCTGGTTTCAATTAAATAATCCTTTAAGACTGTACATAAGGTATATTTATATATTGTAAGATAATAATTCATGTTATTAGATTGCTCAGTAGTGGTGACCGAGAATTGTGAAGCTTTGTCTTATTTTGTCATACTTTTATAAAGTACCTTAAGTTGAAATACATGCAAAACATATTTCTTAAAATTGGAAATTAGCTCTTACACAAAAATAAGAAAGCACAACAATATATTTACCTGGCATTAAAGTCTGGAGTACTGTGAACGGTTCTGGGCAGCATGATGTAAGATGGATATATTGATCTTTGTGTGGCATGCAGTATAGAATGAGAATTTAATTGTAAATTTGAAGCTATTAAGAGTAACTGATAGTTTCTCTCTATCTTATGTATTTCAACTGGCTGAAGAGGCTAGAACTAGAGAACATCATTTGATCACATAAAATTTCAAGCCTGGCCTTTCAGCAATAAAATTGGAAACATCTCCACACGTAGCATGCTGCAACGAGAGTGTACAAAATAGAAGCAAGAGTAGAGCATGTGGCTGATTGAGCTTCTCTACTATTCACTACAGTCATTCCTACACTTGGACTTGCATTCCACTTTGTGACACTTAATTCCCTGAGAGACTAAAAATCCATCTATCCCTGCCTTAAATATATTCAACAATGGACTATCCATAAGTTGATACTTTCTTCCGTAAATTGCATTTGATACTGGGTTAGTTGTTAACTTTAAATCTAAGATTGACTAACAGAAAATCATATTAAGGATATTGTGCAGAATGGTTTTATGGAATTAGGTTGCAGATTAACAATAATCTCATTGAATGACAGAACAGGCTCAGAGAGTTGAATATTCTACTCCTGTTCTATATTTAACTCCTTGAGCCTGATCTGCCATTGAAGTAGTCTGTTCTCCACTTTCAGAAGTGCATGCTAACTGTTCTTTCTTTTGAATTGCAGGTTTATTTCCTTCCACTGAGTAATACAATCATCAGTTGCTTTAAGGATGGTTCTGTCTTTGCCTGGGAAAGTGACACTCTCCGTTGCAAGTACCAATTACCTGTACCTGAAGATGAATCCCGGATCAATTATAAAGCTTTTGCTGTTACTAGGTAGGATATGTACTGGATTATGATGTGACCAATTTTAAGAAGATAAATGCAGTTCAATAACCTTGTTTTTGGGGTTTGCTTTTGTTCATGGAATTACGTAGCCCAGAATGTGATTGTTTGGCTCATCATGCCTTTGCCTAGAATGCACGAGCATGGATGTGCTGCAGAGGCTGTATGAGGCTCTGATCAAACTGCATTTGGAATATTATGAGCAGTTTTGGGCCTCGTATCTAAGGAAGGATGTGGCAGCCTTGGAGTGAGTCTAGAGGAGGTTCACCAGAATGATACTGGAATGAAGGGCTTGTCAAATGAGGAGCTGTTGAGGGCTCTCAGTCTGTATTCATTGGAGTTTAGAAAGATGAGGATCTCATTGAAACTTAGAGAATACTGAGAGACCTGGATAGAATGGAATTGGAGAAGATGTTTCCACTAGTAGGAGAGTATAGGATCCAAGGGCACAACCTCAGAGTGAAGGGATGACGCTTTAGAACTGAGATGAGGAGGAATTTCTTCAGCCAGAGGGTGATTAATCTATGGAACTCACTGCTCCTGTGGAGGCCAAGTCATTGAGTATCTTTAATACAGAGATAGATAGGTTCTTGATTAGTAGGGGATCAAGGGTTACGAGGAGAAGGCAGGAGAACGTATTGAGAAATGTATAAGCCATGATCGAATGCTAGAGCAGACTTGATGGGCTGAATGGTCTAATTCTGTTCCTATTTGTTATGGTCTTACGCTATTCGAATGACAATTTCCTTACAATTTACTGTAGCCCTGCAAAATCTCCCATTTCCAGTAACGAGCAGCTAGTAAATCATTTTCTATCGTATATTCAGAAAGTTTTTTTTTTTGAAATAATAACAGTTCCCTGCATACAAAATATTCTCATTTCCCCTCAAAATTAATTGGCAAAACAATCTTTGTGTTTTCTGGTCACCAAACCTCCTGCCAGGAGGAACAGTTTCTCCTTA